AAAGCCATTGCACACAAGAGACACTTTCGGCGAGGGCGAATTGTTTTGCGGACTGCACAACCGCGCGCGGCGCCGAGCAATTCGTTTCTGTCCCAGTTCTGTCTCTAGAGCTTTTAAACCTCGGCGCGCATGCGCACGTCCGTCTGTCTGGCCACGCAACGAGACAACAAAATAGGGATACCGAACGGCTCAGCGCTTCACTGAATGGCGAATTTCGTAAAAGTACTGCGTTCGAGAGATATGGCGCGAAAACCAAGTACACTGCCCGGCTTACCTCGACCGGGTCCGCTTGCTCTGTGTATCTTGGAATGAAGTCACAACGAAGGGCGCGAGTATCGACTCCCGCATGCCATCTACTACTGTAACTAGCCCGTGTCAGACTCTCTATAGTATAGTATGGGGTCTCCCGCTGGTAGCTCGCGAACTAATAGCCCAGCCCCCATCAATTAGCGGTACCGCGCATGCGTAGTTCGCCGAGGGTTTGCACACTTCCAAGAGATGCAGCTACCTGAAGTTTTCGCTGTCTCCCCCACTGGTCAACGGAAACATTACCCTCCCCTAGCTAGCTACTTATGCAGAGATTGAGCTGCAAGAATTTGAGAGTCTTACTGGTTCCATTCAGCCTGACGTCATTATTGCCGAGCGCGGGTTGTATTCGTGTCGTCAATTAGTCACGCTTAGGAATGTAAATTAGCAACAAAAGGAAGTGTAACTTCCGTCATTCGTAGGAAGTCTAGCTTGCGCAGCGTCGTGTAGGAAGTCGCGGGCTTCGCGCGCACGCAGTCCGCGCGCACGAGCGGCCTCAGTCAGACTGTTTACGCATTGGCTGGCAAGGCGCATTCCTAGTAAAATACTCGGTTAGGCTTGCTGCAATACAATAAAAGGGACGCCGCTTGCATGGAAAGCTTACTGAGAATAAACACTTAAAACCATCCAAAACAGGATCCATCTATCAGTTTATAGAGAGCATATCTGGCATGTACCAGTTGAATTTAATTTGTCAACTATAGCAAGCCCCTACTTTCAAGATGTGCAGGTCATTATAAACATACTTGCAGCATTTGCCAATATCATATAAAGTTGCCGTGAGAGTGAGACAAACAGCTATCCGTGTGAATTCTCTGTGCAATGAAGGCAACTACAGTTTTGATTTGGTTGGCTCTGTGTCAAGAACCACTTCTCATTGAAGGTGAAAAAAATAGGCTCTTTTATGATAGTATTAAAATTTCTTGACAGGAATGATGTTCGTTCTAAGAGATGAGGCAGTAGTCACAACCAACAGCAGTAGCTGTCTTGCCATCACTGATATTGGAGACAGTGTACAAGGTGCTCTTGTCTGCCAGTCAAGTTTGCCCCATGGACCAAATCTGACAAGTGGAAACTGGTACCTCAGTAGTGATGATGGTCATGCAAATAGTACGGCTGAAGGGGACAGGGTTGCAAGGGAGGATCCTCGAGGCTGGGCTAGTGATGTGGTAACTAATGGTTCAGATGGTCATCTACTAGTGAGACTGTGGAGAGTGTCAGAGTCTTCAGTGGAAGGATCATTCACTTGTAACATTCCTGGAGATATCTACAGCCCCAGAACCTTGTGCATCTTTTCTCACAGTGAGATTACCATGTAATCGTTATTTTCGTGCCCATCAGGTAGCTTTATTATAAGGTATGAACTAGGGTGGGAGATCTTTCAAACAAGCATTCTGTATGAGAACCA